AATTCGTTCTTTTTATGGCAATCTTTCCTTTTAACCCTTTACTTTATTTATGATGTGTAAAATGAGTCTTTAAAAAACATCCATTACACATGAATGTTACGCTTGACATATTTTATTTTCCGTGGCTATGAAAATGCAAATTTTGAGTGTCATATATCTTTGTCTATTTAAAAAATGCAACCCGACATAATGATTAAGTGTCCATAAAATAAACACATATCCAGGTTAAAGCCCTAGATCTAGCACTGATAGCCGCCTCTTATATATTTGTAGCTGAAATTGACAAATTTTTAAGTTAACAGAAAACAAAAATAAAACACTATTAATGATTTTTCAAGGTTGTTCGATTCTAAAGCTTTCCAGTTTATACATGGCCAGCAGAGAAATATATATATATATATATATATATATATATATATATATATATATATATATATATATATATATATATATATATATATATATATATATATATATATTCTAATATATAACGTAAATAAAACTTCCAGAAACGGCTTTCATGGTCATATGTGTTTGAAAACTGGAAAACAAGACATTAAATAAGCTAGATATAGTACCTAATTTACACCTGTAGAGAAACAGATGAATAATTTAACTCACAGCAATTGTAACAATTCGGAACAGGTCATGATTCATATTTAGCCCAACATAGTGAACTCCATAAAGTCCTATTTTTAGTAACAAACTGCTCGAATTTCAAACGCCCTCTTACACAAAATAGTAACATCTGAAAATTTACAAGGATGTTACATGGGAGTCAAATTTTTGTTCCCGCTGGGAAAAGGAATTTTTCGTCAGAGGAAGAAAACGCCAAAACAGACTTTGAAGCCAGGTGTAATTCGTAATTCTGATGAAGCAGAAACATGTCTGAAAATCCGGGAATATTTGTTCTGCATTGTTAATATAATGTATTCTGTCTTTTACAAGTAAGATACATCAACCCTTAACTAAATATGTTCCCTTATTTTCATAAGAGATAACTTCTCGTTTCGTTCTAAAGGTCATAGAGAATGAATGACCAAAGGCCTGAACACATATGATTGTTGAATGACCATATGTCCTATTGCTGCTTCATTCATCATCGCTTCTCTCGCTTATTTTCCGTGCTAATCCTTGGTGGCATTCTGGTTACTCTCTATAGCGATGTAATGCACTGTAGCCAAATGCAAAGCAAATTCTGACATAATTTCTAGAACGATTTTTTTTCTTCTGGTGAATGTCTTCCTTTTTAATGTGTATGATTCAAGACAAATCAGGATCTGTAGACAGACGTGCCTCCTCTTACCATTACAAAAATATTCAGGATTGGTTATAAACGTATTTTTCCAAATCATTACACAAAAGACACACAAGAGATATGCAATCTAACTAAAAATCTGTAGTTTCTTTTAAAATCTGGAATACTATAAATGAAAAGAAACAAAACAATAAAAAAAAAAAATGGAATATTTATTTCTATTTTGTTCAACTTTACTTTGGGTGAATTGAGAAATTTGGCTGCAGGAGTTGTTCACAAATTATCGACGCGGGAAATTGTTTCACAGATCAAATATGACCCAAACAAACGGCCAGATTGTCATCAGATTAAAACCAGCAAAGGCAGCTAAACTCTGCGTATTCTGACGGCTTTATAGAATAATATGACCATTTATATTGATTTTATCCAAATAATTGCCCTGCAAAGTTTCAAAGACTTGCGTTAAAAGGGGGAAAATTAATTCCAATTACTTCTAGATGGCAGATTCTATTTCTGTGACGGAAAAGAAATAAAAAGGAAATGGTTTTGTAGCACGACAGCCAAAGAAAATGTCCATTCATCTAAAAATTAATTGAAAAGGAACAATTTTCGAAATGGCATTACTTAAAATGCAGTATACTGTTTGCTCTTTTTCTCTCAAAGTTCTTTTAACAATATTTTTTAGTGACAACACTTGACATTTTATGTACATTTGATGCTTTATAGATCTATACTTTGGGTTTATTAATTTGTTTTGAGCTTTTGATCGAGAGATATTCAGTTCGAATTTCGTTTCCGGTTCCGCGTCACACCTAAGAATTGAGGAGTGACTGCTTCTTCGCCAAGAAGTAAACGCCACGAATCCATTGAACAAGACCTTAAAATTTGAAGTCACGGCAAGCATTGGCACGATTAAAACTCAAGGAATGGACGAGAGGGGAGAATTTAAATCTTAATTTAAGGCCTTCTATCGGTATACATGCATGCACTGTATATGGTGAGGTTTAATAAACAACAAATAATCAATCTAGTCGTGGGTCATATTGTTCGTTTTAAAGTAACAGTTTTGACCATCTCTGAAAAAATCTTGACATTTGTATTATAGTTCTAGTTATTACGTTTGAATCATGATACTAGCAAATATCTATAGTACCGTATATATGTTGATTGATTGATTGTTCACGTCCCATTCGAATTTTTTCATTCATATAAAGACATCACCATATGCTGCTGAAGGGCTTCGAATTTAGGCCTTTATTCAGCACTCAGAATCATAGAGTCGTGGGTTTTTTATCGTGTCGTCACAGGACCACCGTTTTTAAGGTCTAATTCGAAGAACCCGCAGCTTTCACTGCAAAGTTTCAAGCGCTTGGCAAAGGAACGGGTGTTTTCTATTTTTTATCGACTTGAAGGACAAGCGGCCGAGGTTCGAACCCACACTCTACATGATCTCCTCGGGTGACTCGTACCTCGCACACTGACCTCCGACACTCGGAGTTCCTCGGGTGGCTCGTACCTCGCACAAAGACTGGTGTTTGAATGGAGAGTAGCGGAGTCAGACGAGGATTTCCGATTGTCGAACCCACGACCTTCAAATTCCGGTGCTTACATGTTAAAAACACAACACAACACGCCTCTAAATGGCTATTGTTGGTTTGCTTGTTTGAGGATCCTATACTGATATATGTTTACCGTAACGTAGATGTGATCCACTCGAAACATATGTTATCAGTAGTGTATATAATGTCTACTACAAATCAACCTTTAAAAATTCATCATCTAGCTTTCTTATGACACATCTGCAATATCACTGTACACTTCGTTTATCCTGCTATAAGTGTGAGGTAAACATTACGCTAGTAAAATAGTTTTTTTACTGATGGACAACATCCACGAATTTCGTTTCCAATAGTTTTTCATTACCCTCGCAGGTTATAAATGCATCTTTGAGATACAGCATGAGCCTATTTGCTCTTAAGCAGGTAGTAAAACGACACTCGGGATGTTTTCTTATACCGTTCATCAAGAAGTGGTATTTGTAGTATCTATTTGGTTAATTAGTTTGACCCGGTTGGTATTTCTGTTTACCAGTAACTTTATCGATATTGGCACCGTGTGTTAATGCAGATATACTTATGTCGTAACAAGGACCCCCTTAATACCAACTGTTAGAGTAATAAAATGTTATTACTGTAACTTATTCGGATACTTCAAGTGTTTACAGTAGGGATTCACGGTTTGTAAAAATCCTCGCTGTCTTTTACGGTCATGTGACAGTTATGTCAACAAATCTGATTGGAGAACAAGCACTCGGGGCTACTTTCCATTATAAAGCCGTATTTACGAATAATCATACCTGATTGTGAATAAAATGACAAACAGGAGTGAAAATGTTTGTGACAAATATTTCGACCCGGTTAGAATCTAATGAATTCTCTTGACGGGCGAATGACTTTATAAATATTATTCAAAACTCTGGATGAGAGACCTCGTCTCCCCTACTGTTAATATGTAGATCTATACGCTCAGCAAATTTTCACCTTACTTTTTTTGCAATTTAAAAATTATTAAATTCGTTTAATGCTTCTTTAAAAGCAGAGAGAATTAGAAATTTGATGAAAAATGAAAGGAAACGGTTGATTAGCATTAACCTCCGGTCATACACAATGGTGACCGTGGGCACCGTCCGTGGCTTAGTGACATGTTTAATGACACACGTATTTAATTAACAATTTTCAATAGGACTGTATGGGGAATAGATATATCGTAATCCGCTAACAGGTTAACACAAATAAATCAATCATTTTACCCTTCTGGTAATAAGACCACGCGTTGTCTATGATAGGAAACTTGTAATAGTAACACGTTAGAGCCTCATAAGCTATTCAATGTCAGAAGGAAACATATACTGAGTATACATGTACGTAAAACCTACACTGTCTTGTAGGTAATCTAACTTCTTTTTCATATCGCACATAAATCAAATGATTAAAAAATCAGTTATTCAATGACGATTTTTTCTTTGAATTTAGATTTTATGGCAAGGTCCGTACGTGATATATAATTAGCTAGAGAAATGTGCTCTTTTTTCTGAAGCAGTGATCATTATAAGGGGGTTTTGTTTTCCTCCTATACCGCGTTACACTGTTCGGCTATCAATAAGAATGAATTCTCAGTTTCAGCCAATTTACTCACTACTTCACTGACTTAGGTGAAACTAGTGACAAAACATAAGATACACATGTATCATTAAACGTGTTTTCTTTGATCAAGAAGTATTTTGAGGATTTTTTTTTAAGTTATGAGATGTTCATATTTGACAAGCAAATTCAGTACTTGTAGATCTTTGGACTTTGAACCAACTCTACTGTGTGTTAGTCGGATTGTTTCCCGCGAAAGGAAATATGCGGCAGTTTTTCTTTCTTTCCTTTTTCTTTTTGTTGCATTTGCAACCTTTAATGTTTGATTTTTATTCACCTGCACATTCAATTTGCAAATCAAGACGAAATATTAAATATAAAAAGGGACAAAAAATCAATAACAATAAAAATTTGAAGATTTTTTATTCGGTTGAGAAGATACTGGTCGATCAATGACAACTTGTTGAAATGAATCTGCGCTTCATTTGGATCAATATTGCTTAGGGTTGAATGTTACAGAGTTTGTTAATACATCTGAATATTCAGTTGAAAGAAAAAAAACTGCTCAGGGACGGACGACGCTTCATCTGGAGACATCTGTCGCACATAAAAAGAAGGGTTCGGGTTCTTCATCCGCGAAACAAAAAAGCCACCGATTATTCTTTTCTCCATTATATACACCTGTTTAGGTTAGAGGGAATCGTTACATCATAGCTTTGAATTATCAGGCATACCTCACTGCCTTTCTACAGAGATAATACCTCTCGTACAAAGTAGATTTATACTATCACTAAATAGTGCGACAAATAAAAGGGGACCGACTATTATTTTGGACCGAGGACTCTTTAAATTGGTTCCCAGTGCACAGTTGGACATCTGGCCTTTGGTGATCTAATTAGTACGAATAACGAGTTTAGGGGGCGTGGTTCCTGTACTGAAAAGGTGCTGAGGCAATAATTACTTATTGTTGCAGGGGACATATTGTTGTTACTCTTTATCGGTGACAGAATCCAGTGTGGATAATAGATGCACATTACGTCGAGCTTACATTCAGGCGATTTTTTTACACGTAGTTTGTGACAAGTCGCTGTGTGCTCATTTCCACTGCAAGTGTATATCTGCATACACGTGTCTGACTATTGTGTGTGGGTACACGACGATTCAGTGAAACTAACGAACAACCAGAGCGCAGCAGAGGAGGGTTGGCGCGTTACTGTTGTCTTCGGATTTTCGCTGGGACAGCACGCTATCACGGGAAGACAGCAGACGACTTCTAACTTTCAGAGATATCTGTGTTTTTTCCTAATTTTATAAAATTAATTAATTCCACGTGTCAACATGGCTGGAATATACGGATATATATTTTGTATACTGTGTATATTGGATTTTATTTATTTATCTGACGCTGTGTGTAATTACGTGAAACGAGATGTTGCATATAAAGTGGTAAAATCAGATGTTGTTTTAACTGGCAAAGTTATCAAAATTATGGAAGGAGACAGTAAACATTTTCCCGGAATTCAGGGAGCACAAACGCTTGAGTTTGAAGCCGAGTGCATCTACAAGGGTGGTGACATGAATAAAGATGTGACAGTTTATGGATTTGGTAAGTTGTCTACATTAAAACATGGGTAAATGAGGGGTTTAATAACACCTTTAAAAATTAAAAAAACGTTAAAATGGTTATTTTTGTTCTTGCAAGATTTTTAAGAACAGGACAGCACAGTGATCAATTTGATGTAGCAGCACACCTTCTCCACCATGTCAGACCTAAACTGTATTATTGTGGATATACATATTTTGTTTTTGAACTTTATGCTTCGATGGGTCTGCCGCTACCGTTTATTAAAATACTTAGTAATAATTATAAAGCTTTTGACAAGACAGTTTAGTAGCCTGCTTAATCAGGCAGATAAGATTTGTGATTAAGCTTTATCCGAGTCTTGTCAATAGAAGATAACGAACTCTACGTTTTAACCATTGTTTAGTTTTATCCTATACCATACCTGTCACATTTTCTAGGAGTTCATTCATAAATGACCTGTTTCGTCCCGTCAACGGTTTGTAGTAATTTACGAGGCATGTCATGCGTAAATATGCATGGAATTTAATTTTTGGGGTCTTCACAGGAGCTGAGATTTTTCTTAGTTTTTGGTGTGTATCTTTATTTTCCGTGTGTCGTATCTGAAATCGAGCAATGATAGACGGATGTAAATCAATCGTAAACTTTACAGATTTGGTGACAAGTTACAATACACCCCTTGGGATTCGGGTAATAAATTATATAGCTGGTTTTAGTTCATGTGCTCAGTGACACGCTTCTCTGGGCCTCTCTATGCCCCGTGGTTAGAGAGCGAACATAATGACCACTAGAAAATTGTTAATTTATAGGTGTCACCTGAAGAAATAAAATCACCAATAACAGGGGCTCATAATTAATTATAAAAGAACTCCTTGGAGGTTTTATTGGGAAGATCCTTTAACACAAATAAATTACAAGTGTATGACAAGAAATTAAAGTTAAGGAATTAAAGCAGGTTATAGAAAGGCATCAACATGATCAAAAAAAAGGGGGGGGGGGCTTTTTAAGCCGCAAGAAATTGTGTATAATCTTTTTGCAATTTATTATACAATTAATTTTATCAGAACAAATCAAATTGTTCCAGTGATCAAGATAATAGTTAAGTTTGTTCTTAGACAACTAAAAGAGGTCTGGGAGATAGAAAAATATTAGCTCCCTTGTCAATGCTGGACCTTGGTCGCTCCCATTTGATCTCGCTGTCGTTTTTGGCGGTGTGTCTTTTGATGAGCTCACTCCCTATAGAATCACCGTGATGCCACCTGTAACGCAGCAGCAATTTATAACATTTTTCTTCTGATGCGACCCAGCATTAACTCTTCAGGGGCTAATTTGTTTGAAACATTGAACTGTTGATAGTGTTTGATATATGTCTAGCGATATAGTTCCTAAAGAGACGAGTTAAAAAGAAGAGAAATTGGCGCTGTTTGCAAACATCGAAACAGAAGGTGCGCTTTGTAATGACTTTTGACCTAGATTCTTGGCATAGTTGAGAAAGGGGAGGACTTCAGTTTAAAACTGGCTCTACCCAAGCCCTCTGTTATTTTCCTGTAATAATCTACCGCGGAAACTCAATTAAATTGAAAATTTACACGCTCTGACAATTCGACACTCAGTAGTAAATAGATGCGTGACATTTGACAATACTGAATTCAAAATGGGATATCATTTCTCTGACCTAATTTGTGGACTAAATGGAGTCTAGTGTTGTGTATTATCTACATTGTTCATTGTTGGGAGTAAATTTCATAGGTTTATTGTAGCATGAACACATAGATATACGGCAGTATTTTGTTACCATGACAATTTAGAATACTGTTGGTATTTTAGTTATATGTTCGGCAATGCTAAGCTTACGCCCAGCATAAAGTCTGATAACATCTCGGAATTTTTAAAATAAATCTATCATAAATTCTTTATTATTGTGGGAATATGTTACTCACTTCTTTAAAAAAAAAGGGGTGAAAACACGAGATACCCCTCCCCCCTCCCTCTCTCTCTCGTACAAGCAGGAAGATGTAACACAGGGAAAATTACAAATGTAGGCAGTTTTTGTGTTATTTTCGGCAGAAGTAGAATGAGTGTCTCTGTCAGATGATGGAATATCATCACTGATAAGACCTAATAAATGCATTAACAATGTAAAACTGCACGACAATCCTAGACAGCTATTAAAGTCATTTATTTCCGCGTCTGAATTCGGTAACAAGCTGTGTAAAACAACATAAACCATACCGACAATGTAACTTCGCATATGGATACTGCGTGCCGTGTACATCCCTTGATTAACGCATTTTTTTTTTACTGAAATGGATTAAAATTATCATTTCGCCCTTCCCGATTATACAGAAAAGGAAATTGCCAGAGGATTCAGAAAAGATCAAAGCTCCTTCTTTCCAAATTTCGCGCGAATTATTGCGTTTTGTTAGGTCACGTGTTAGCGCTTGGAAGAACGGACCCTCTTGGAACATGTCACCAGGAAGTCATCATTTAATTAAAAATCATACCCAGTACCCAATCAACTAGAGTACATCAATGAATAAAGCTAAAATAGCGAAAAATTGTTTCTTTGAACCGAGTTTTCTAATCGATATTTGACGATATTGATCGTATATGAATCATCTGCGAAGTCAGGTGAAATAAGTGTTTGTGAATTAGACAAAACAATTAATCAGGCTTGGATACATTGTTTAATATGCAGAAATATCATCGTCACCTGCTTAAATGATTAGTGAACAATAGCAGTGAATGACTGTCGATCTAAGTCAGATAGCCTCACAGGCCCTAGGGGCATTTTGTCAATTAACTTTTGACGATTGTATTTTATCATGGCGTTTACGCGGTGAACTGTTGGCGTTATGTTGGAACATGCTATTCACTTTTTCTTCAGTCATTTTCTGTATGACAGATGTACAATGCTTATCGTTCGGACGAACGGGTAAATCGGGGTTCATCTCAATACTTTTTCATTAGCAGTGTCGCTCGCCAAAGATAATCGGTCATTTCTTGGTTCAAAGTCAATTTTCCAGGGTGTGTGCATCATTCATCGATTCTTTCATCTGTTTGTCATCTAAATCATTGTCTGTAGCTGCACCTGAAGCCAATAAATGCACTGCTTTACGTGTTTCTCGACCATCCCTTGTCATCTTTCCACGAGAAGGAAGAAATGTGTTTCTCTAGAAACATAATATATCGACACATCCTCTTTGCTTTAGAACCTCTGCAGACAGCACGCCTCGTGGAACTTGGAACTCTTTTTACCGAATTCTACCAAAGGCCAAGGACACAAGAACTCAATACATCATCTAACACCCATAAACCTCATTAACTAATTAACAAATTGCGGCGTCATGTATTACAAATAACAGATGGTATACTCTCTACATTACTGTTGAGCTTTTTATCTTCAATTGTAGAGTAGTGGGATTAGGAGTAAAATATGTAATTCGATGGAGTTAAAAATATTCATAGGCAGAATAAAACAAACCTCGTGAATTATTCATAAGTTATTTGCCATAACCCAATTTTCCTCATTGCAATGCAATCGTTTGCTGTCGTTAGATAGACTTTTAAAATATGTTTAATATTCATGTGAAAAACAAATAGTGTACTCACTGCATCATTTAAAAAAGTATCAATTTTAAAACCTTGTTTTAAATAACATTCCAGTCTGCCAGGTGTCACGCGCTTAAAATATAATTTCACAATGAAAACGCATAATTCTGCAAATGACGCATTACAATACGAGTGAACGCGTGTTGCATTCATTAGGAATGGAGTAAATTTGTCTCTGCGGCTTTGTCCTCAAATGATCAAATGTATTGGACATATTTTGATGTAATAATTATAATAGATTCTCCCCATGTAATTCTGTAAATGACGAAAGTTATGCATTTATATATAAGTCTACCCCGCAGTACTATAAATCGTTCGCTGGGGAGTGCTGGTGATTTTGAAGAGAGACGAACAATTTGCATTCAAATTTTCTTTGCATGTTTTCTCATGGTCTTGTTAACCAAGCCATGAAAGTGTCAAGCACTTATCGATGTCGGATACCCTGCATCAAACGAACCTCACAGAATTATCAAAGATTCATCTGAGAGAATAAAAATACTTCTTCTAAACCATAAAAATTGGACAGAAGGCGGAGATGAAAAACACGCCTACATAAAAAATGATAAACTTCATAGTATGTAAGAAATTTCACTGATTCACCAACTTAATGAAAAACATACACAACAATCCGTAGAATAACAGCTTATTAGCGCATAAAGAATGTGTTTTATTTACTTTTTGTTTCCAATATTGTAACCGACCTTACGCTCACATTGTATTAAATTATCTATAATGAACGCTTGTTTCCCGCTAAACGGTTCCTATATTTATTTTGTGTAAATAATAGGCTTTCATTTCATCCAGCATCGCATAGGATTGTCTATTATTCATGATTTTTTTCTTCACCTTTTAGATCCTACCTTTGTGCCCCCTGCCCATTTCACACTATTTAATGAACACCCCATCACACAAGCCATTATTTTGAAAACTATAAATCAATGAAAAAGTGATTTTGTTTTAGTTTGTGGAAAAATTACACCTTTCGGTGTAGCATACAAGAACGCCTGGGACTGTCTTAATTTAATTTTTTAGCGATTAAGTTTCCCCCATTTGACACTGATGTCGAGCCCTTATAAATAAGAATTTATGTTAATTATACACATTTTTCAAACTTTTCATCTGTTTTCACAATGTATCACTTGTATATTGCGGATCCTTACGGGGCCACCCCTTGCGTTTGTATCTATTTTCAGACCTTTGGAATATAATAAACCGTTTTATAGGTCACGGGGATGGGTCATTACCTCCTCAGCTGAGTTCATCTTACCGATCATTTCTCAAAAAATGCACTTTGCCGACCCCCAAAAAACTTCTTAATAGCACGTTTTGCGGTCATTTGCTTTTGAGATGTACAAACAGTAAAAAACAACAACAAAAACCAGATGTTTTCACAAAATTTTAATTAAAATGTT